TGAACAGGGTGCGTAAAATCTGTGAAGTCCGGTTACTTACTTCTACCATTTCGCAGCGTCACAAGTATTTCTTTTGCTAGTTCTTGTCAAATAACAGGCCTCATCAGTATGGTAACTGTTATTTGACACGAACTAGCAAAAGGAACAAACGAAAATACAATGCCCCCTCGTAGCCGAGTGCCTCGTGCTCCTCCTCTACATCACCCTATAAGAGCTGTGCGATAGTGTAATCCTAGAAGGGATTGCCGTAAAGGAGAGTTCCTTCTTTTTTTTACTGTTGTTAACATCATCTCCCTTTTTCAGGTACTGATCTAACAACATTACTCGAGTTCATACACCGCCTTCTGTGGGAAGATAATGGCTGGACGCATTCGCCTTCACTCTATGCGTCTACTCTACCGGTCACCCTGGCTCAGTTTGATGCTCTGCTTAGCTGTAAACAGTTTGTGTTCTCGGTAAGTTTAGAGCTGCTATTTGAGACTGTTTAATCCCGTTGACAGCATATGAGTCAAAGGCACAGTTCGCGCTGATTGTATGGGCGGAGACAGCGAACCATTCCGTCACACTTATTGGCATGCCATTACTTCAATGCATGAGAGCGAGAAAATGGAACGGTTGACTGTCTCCTCTCATACCTCTGGCATGTGGGCTATGCTCCCAAAGTGGTGCTGGTGCTGAATTGGCGTACTCTCTTATGATTCAGATCGTAGAAACGGCCGAATCCGAATCAGGGATGTCGTTGAGTGAGAAGTCGATGCTTTCGTCACTGCTGATCGCCGTACTGCTACGGAACTTCCAGTACTGTACCGATGTCGTTCTATCGCTTCTGAGGGCTCATATTGCTAAAAGCGTTCATGTATGTGCCATCGTTTTTTTTCCTTACTTGATCCTCTCATGGTTTTTTATCCTCCTCTTTCTGCTTTTTTCCCGCTTTCCTTTCCTTATTTTTATTTCTCTCTTTTTTTCGTTCTTAGTGGCCTTTCCCCATCAAGCAGCCCTTCATCCAGACCTGATGCGGCCATCGGCACATGAGGCGCAAAT